ATCTTCATCCTAATCTAGCCAATATATAAGAATGGATGAACTAACTAGCTAAACTATCCTACACTAAAGAAATGGAAGAACTACATTTCTGCACTTCCGAGTTTTCTCCTGTATGTTTCTCCCTTCAATCTTGCAATTGTTTTGGCTATATAAAGATAAAGGTGGTCAAGGAATGAGGTTTACACCTCCCTTTTACAGCTGCAAAGTGGTTGTCACATGTCTAGCCTTACATGTGACTTGTTGGAGATGAAATCAAGTTGTCCGCGTAAAGAGCAGCTTTTTTTTACCACAATCCTGCCAGAAATCTGGCCATAAATCCATCCAAGTTTAGGCCGGATTGCTACAGTGACCTTTTGTGCAATTTCTGTTCAATTTCCAGCTCTGCTCCGATTTTGCCTCAACTTCAACTAAACTTTTCTTGATGATAGAAGCTGATTTAACTCTTGACCAAAACATAAAACTTGTAACCCTTTGTGTTAGCTTTCCAATGCAAGAATTAACTCAATTGGATTTGTGTAGTTTGAGAAATGATTGAAATACCCTTGACTGCTCAATACTCTGTTTTAGTTTCGACTAATAGAAATTGGCTACTGTAATTCGATTTTTTGACCTAGAAAACCTTAGAACTGGATTTTGATGTTTTCACCGAAGTTGTAGATCTATCTCTTATCTTCAAATTGCTTCAAGAATCATCTCAATCCGATCACTGTAGCTCAAGTTATAGCCGAAATGCGAAAATGTGTCAAAGCTATCAAAATGCACAAAATGCAAGTAAAAAGTGATAAAAATCTCATTTAATCACTTAAGACATTTTTCCCCAATTATAGCCAAAATAATTCATTTTCTTCCAATAATATAACCAAAGTGACTAAAAATAATATAAAATATCATTCAATTATTACGTAAATTAGTCACTTATCACTCCTCTTTCTGTCTTCTCTCTTTAGAAAAAGCTTTCTAACTAGAACTCCTTTCAACTCTCCTATGGGAGAGAGATCAGATTATTATGATCTTTATCTATGAAAGGAGTTCTCTTTATAGTTTCTTTTATTTGTGTGAATAAAATCTCTTCTAAGATTTTCTAACGAGACTTTCTTCTCTCATTAGGTTGGCTAGTGAGAGTTAAAAACTGATGACACTAATTCATTTCACTTAAAAAAAAAAAACTGATGACACTCACATGATCACTTCTCTAGGAGTCATAATTCTTATTCACCAGACCCATTGTCAAACAAGATAGCATAAAGGTCACCTGCAGGTTACTCTATCATGTTTGATTATGAGTTTGGTGGATAAAAATTAGGATTCTCTATTCAAGAGGTGGTCATATAATAGTCTTGTGCTTTGTTTTTTTTTTTTTTTGGAAGAAAATAAATTGTGGGCACATAAGAGGCGTGCATATTTTGGCCAAAAAACTAATAAAAAATGAGCTTTGTGACTAAAAGGATGCATTTTTTTAATATATTTAAGGGGCTATTTTAGCTAATTCTAATTGTGAGGGGCTCAAAAGTTATTGAAAATGGAAGGGACCAATTTGATAATTTTTTCTTTATTATAATATTATTTGCATGTGTAATATTAATGGAATAGGGGCCACACAAGTTTTATTTTCCACAAGTTTGCTCTTTGACGTAACTGGGTTGGAAAATAGTATAACAAAAGTTTAAATATATTGTAATTGAATTGAAATATAGTGCAATAAATTGTGAAATTATGAACTTGTCCTGAAATCGAGTAAAGTACAACCCTATATCCAGAAACCATTATTGTGCATAAAAAATTGTTTTATTCGGAAACAGTACCCACCACATGCGAGCCAACTTAGAGCTCAGAAGAAGTATATGGTTGCAGCGGAATCAATCTCAAGAAACCAACGTTGTACCTAAGACATTATTTTATTTTTAGCAGAAAACCTTAATTATAAACTTAAGTAGACGGACAATCATAGAGTTCCAGTGTCGACGCATCCAACGCTAGCTCGCCAAATCTAGGCCTTGTTCGAATTGCATTTTTTGCCAAAAACTTTTGTAAATTTTCTTGAGAATTTTTTTATTATACATCACATTTTAAGAAAAGTAGTATAATATATTTTTATATAAAACTCTCAAAAACTATAATATACATCTTTAAAAATTTACTACAGTATATTTTTCTATAATAACTTTTAAAAATTACAATCTGAATCGACTATTAGTCTCACTAAATAGATAGTCGAAATTGAAAACGAAATGATTTCACGTGACCTGGCCAAATTAAGACCCCATAAATTCCATTCGTTTCATCAAATTAATATTTGTTTGGATAGTAAATTCTTTGCCAAATTTTATTTACTTGCATCATTGACATATTTTTCAATCTCCTTTTTATCTCACATACATCACGTCCAAAAAGTATTACAGTATTTTGTTCTAAAAAATTATTTCAAATAATTTACTACCCAAACACACTGACCTAAGTTAGGTCTTTTGGAGCCTTACCCAAACACACTTGCAAGTGTGTTTTTTTTTTTTTTTCTTTAAAGGTATACAGTTTTTTTGTTTGAAAGCATACATCTACTAGGTAAATTTGAATGTTTTATTTGAATTGGTACTTGAGGAAGTAAAATTTTGTCCTCAGTTATGATTTACTCTAAGTCTGTCTGTAGTGGTACCTCTTGTTCGGCACAATGGCATAAAAAAGACAGTTATTAATCTAAGAAGCAATTATTAAATTGTAAGAGTTGAAAGAGACAAGAAAGACATAATCTGAAATAATCAAAACTATTGGAAAAATATTGGAGTCCAAATCGAAGAGATCGACAGCTAGAATCATGTGATCAAGACTTGCAACTACCACTTAAGAGCACTGAATTCTTTATCAACTCATGAATCACCCGGTAGCATTATTGATTATCTGTCGGTACGAATTATGAAGTCAATTGGATGTATCCGTAACATAAGATGCAAATCAAAGCTCAGAAGAAATGTAAGAATCGATATCCAGAAACCATTATTGTGTATAATAAATTGTCTTATACAGCAAGTTAAATTCTATCTAGTTCAAATCAGTTTGTATAATTTTTAGTACATTTCGTGTAAATTTGTATGGTTTTGATATAAACATCAAATTAATTATAAAAAATGTGCCCGTTTAGTCTCAAAACTCACTTTCGATCAATTTTTAAGCCAAAAAGTGCACCATCTCTCTGGTTCCCACAATTTCAATGGCAAAATTGAAACACAATTTCTTTCTCTTTAAAAAAAAAAGACATGACAATCACATAACCACTCCTCTAGCAAAGGAACCTTAATTCTTATCCACCAGATCCATAATCGAACAAGAAAGTGTAAAGGTCATCTCTAGTTTACTCTTTCTTCGATTGTGAATTTGGCGGAAAATAATTAGAATTCCCTATTCAGGAGGTGGTCATATGATTGTCATGTGCTTTTTTGGGAAGAAAATAAATTGTGTTCCCATTTTTCTATTTAAATTATGGGTACCTAAGAAAGGCATGCACTTTTTGGCTAGAGAACCGATGAAGAAATGAGCTCGCAGACTAAAAGGACGCTTTTCTTTTTTATATTTTGATGGACTATTCCGACTAAGTCTAATTTTGATGGACTAAAAAAAGCTTTTACCAAAAATTTAAGAGACGAATATGGCAATTTTTCTTTGACTATAATATAATCTGCATGTGTTATATTAATAGGATCAGGGGCTGACGGGGTCTCACAAGTTTGCTTTTTAATGTAATTGAGTTGGAAAATAGTGTACCAAGAGTTGAAATATGATGTGATTGAGTTACAAAATGGTGTAATAAAATATGAAAAATATTAAATACCTGAAATTCAGTAGAAATACAACTTTCAGGCCTTGAATTGAGATTAGAAGGGGCTCTCCAGAACTAAACAGGTAAATCCAATCTAAGAAACAATAATTAAATTGCAAAGATTGAAATGAGAAAGACATAATCTAAGATAATCAAAATCCAATCTAAGAAACAATGGCATAATAAAATATGAAATTACTAGATACCCGAAATCGAGTAGAAATACAACTTGTCAGGCCTCGAATCCAGATTAGGAGGGCCTCTCCAGAACTAAGCATGTAAATCCAATCTAAGAAACATTGGTGCAATAAAATATGAAATTATTAAATACCCAAAATCGAGTAGAGATACAACTTGTCAAGTCTCGCGTCCAGGTCAAGGGGCCTCTCGAAAACTAAACATGTAAATCCAATCTAAAAAACAATTATTAAATTGCAAAGATTGAAATGCACAAGAAAGATATAATCTAAAAGAATCAAAATATGTAGTTAAAAACTCAATTTTCTTTATTCAAACCCAATTTCTAAGCAGGTCTAGTCAATGTCTGTTCAACTCAATTGATTAACTCGGACGGAATGCCCACCGGATCCTCAGTTCAATGTTTGGAATCTGTTGGTCCCGTATGGTTTAAAAACGGTGTTATATGTTGATAGATAATTGGGAGACAAGGTGGATAAGGAAAACTCTCGTGAAACCAATGCGTTCTGATTTTCAACTACATATCTTTATGGGATAAGACTTAGAGAGCTGGTTTTTTTTTTTTCCCGTACGATAGCTTCTTACACTATTGGGGAGGGGGAGGATCTGAAGAGGTCCAAGGATAATTTGAAGATAATTGAACCACCACCAGACTAAACGGATGCACTATGCACCTACCTGGATTTTTTTAAATAATGCCACATTTAATTGAGGCACCCCACCAAGTTTTAATACTTTGGTGGTGGTCACCAACCCAAAGGCTATGTTTTCAAACTCGGACCGGGACTCGACTCGGTAGAGGTCGGGGGTCAGGGGTCAATGGGTTCGACCGGGGTCGATAGGGGGTCGACTCGGATGACGTCATATATACGTCATATATATATATATATTATATACACACACACACATACCTGCAAATCAAATTTACAAAATATAACCAAAGAACCCAATCATCTAAATTTATATCTAATTCATCAAACAATTCACCAAATTCATCCAAACTCACAAATTTATAAAATAGAAATCCCATATATGTTCAATCATTAACAAATAGCAATCCAAATAAGGTAACAAGTTCATGTTCAAATGCTTGATAATATCAATCTAAATAAAACACCATGTTCCAAAGAACTATCTAAGCCATTCTTCATCTTCATCTTCATCATCCTTATCTCCAATTTCATAACTTTCGAAGTCGATATCATCAACATCATCCTCATCATCAAGTTGCACAATATTTGTGTCTTTCTTATCTACAAATCATTTAAATACTCATAAATAAAAATATTCAAAAATAGACACAAATTAAAAAGAAACTTAAATAAAGTTAGCAAATATAAACTTACGTGATTGAGAGGCTTCATTCTCGCTAGTTTTGGGAAATTCTTCTTCAATCATTTCTTCTAACTCATCATAATCAAGCTCTCCTTCTTGTTCCTCATCAATTACCCAAAATTAAACTTTATCAATAGTTTCATAATCCACCGGATCATAAGACCTCTTTTTATATCCACCGGATCTTTTTCAACCAGAGTCACCTGATTAATTAGGAAAATTTCACTAATGCCATATACAACGTATCTTTAGGCATGTCAATTGAGCCTAATAGGTTGGGTTCTGAAGTAGCCAAGTTTAGACTTAGTGAAAAACATAACAACTTAGCAGCAAAAGTCTGATTCAGGCTGATTTGAGGTTAATAAAACATAACAACTTAGCAACAAAAGTCTGATTCAGGCTGATTCAGGCTGAAAAACATAACAACTTAGCAACAACTTAGCCAAGTTTTGAGGTTAATTCTGGGATTAGGTTTATAAAACAACAAAAGTCTGATTCAGGCTGTTGAAAAAAGACAAATTGCCTCAGGGTTGAAAGGGTATTGGGTGGTAGTATCCCACTTAGCAGCAGGTCCCCCCTATAGGTACATTTGTCCCACATCGGGGTTGGGGTTGGGTTTGGGTTGGGATATAAGTCCCTGGGATTGCCTCAAGAGTTGCCGGCTTTTGAGGTTAATTCTGGGATTAGGTTTATAAAACAACAAAAGTCTGATTCAGGCTGTTGAAAAAAAAAAAAAAAACATAACAACTAGTTTCAGGTTAAATCGATTTGGGTTTTGAAACATTATGGCTCAAACTCGGCCCTTTTATTTCATTGGGCTTCAGGGTCCAAAATGAGCTTGTCAAAATTCAACAATTTCTCATTCATATTTTTCTAAACAGATAAGACATTAATTAAATAAAATCAAGGTTTATGATTTTAAGAACAAGATTTATCATAATTACTATTACACATTTTTTTAACATAATAGTTTTTTTTTAATGGCAAACCTCATACAGGAGAGGAATGCCGACCCTTTAATTTATTCATGCAACTAAAATTAAAAATTACAAGAATTTGAGGGGGTCGAACCTGATCTCTAAATCACGGAGCCATTAAAATGTGGCAAGAATTGTGAGAAGGTCTAGCTATTAAAATGTGCATATGATTGGCGGTGCTAAATTATAAGACCTGGAGGTTTATCATACTTGTCTGTCCTCTCAAAATCATCTTCCATTCAAAGTAATCCTCATCCATTTCATCCCTTCCATGTAATCCTCATCCATTTCATCCATGTAAAAATGGTAGAAAGTTTTTAACATACGCCACAATAGTAAAGTTTTTGAAAAATCACAGGCATCATATTCGGGCAACAATAAATTTGCAAACTGATACATTTGTCTTTCATATAGGTGATTCAGTTAGCTGGAAAGGGAGAAACGTGCATAAAAGAAAGGGAGAGAACTGAGAACAGAGCACAACAGTTGTGGCCTTCGTATTAGTTTCACACCCGCAAAATCCAATCCCGAAGGCCCAGCATAATGAATCAAAAAATTCCAGCCACATATCAACTTTAGCATAACAAATCAGCAATAATAGCCTTCAGATTGTAAAAATTACCAGATTTAGGCTTTAGCTTCAGTTCACCCGCTTGCTAACTACTTGCTTCTCTTGAAATCTGAACGAACTGGTGGTGTTGCGGCGGCGGAGGCCAGCGATTGAAGGCTGTGGATCTCAAGAGTGATGGAGGCCAGAGATCGGCGATGGATCTCAAGAGCGGCGGTGGTGGCTGAACGGCTATCGGCGAGGTTATCGCCTATCGGCTGAAGAAGAAACACTCAATTGACTCAAACAGAAGCTCACGAAAGCTTTTGTCAATTTTGCTCTATTTTTTCAGTCAATTTTTAGCGTTTTTAGTTGGTCAATTTGTCAAAGTCTGACCCAAAAAAAGGCCGAAAATGGAAAAAAATAAAAAACCGGAGTTAATCAAAAATTCCGGTTCACCGGTCCAACCCGAGTTATGACCGAGTTTGACCGGTTTTTTAACAGCCGAGTTTTTTAGCTAGCTCGGACCGGATGCCTGCCCGGTTCCCGGTCCGACCGGCCGGTCCGGTCCGAGCCTGAAAACACAGCCCAAAGGCTGGTGGTTGACTCAGAGACCAATCTTTCATGGGAACAGTAAGGACGGTCCCATATGTAGAATAAAGGGGTAATTTCAGAGACCTTCCCTAAGGTTTTTGATAGTCTCGCTGTCCTTCCCTAAGATTTTCAAAATATTGAAAACCTCCCCTAAAACTAATTAGCTAGTAACAAATCAGCCCAATTCAAATACAAAAACAATATAAAATTAGTGTTAGAAGAGAGAAAACAATTTAATTCCATAACTACCCTCAAGTTTTGCATTAGATAGTTAATTTACTCAGAACAATATACATTTATTTTAACTTTATCAAATGCTGATCCATGAATTTTAATGTTGAGATTTTGCTTAATAATCAAACCATTTGCTTATGGATGTTTGTTGAATATTTTATATTCTTAGATTAGTTAGTCATAAATTGAAAGAGTTCTTGATCTTGAAAGCTGACTGGAGAGATATTTCTTGAAAATTATCACTAATACTTGACATATGTTTTTAATTGTATTGTGGCAATAGATGATTCGAGTAATAGCCATTGTTTGAATTTAATTGCTTGATTTGTGTTCTCATGCTTGAGAACAAGCATTATTTAGGTGTAGGGGAAATTGATAGGTCATAATTTGTTACTAAATTTATAATTATTTTCCCCTTGATTTTAGCCAAATATTATTTTAATTGATAGATTCTACTTATATTTGGTTAACGGTGCCAATTGTAGGAAAATGAGCAAAATATGATAAAAGAGGTAATTTTTCAAGAATTACTGTCAAGTCTAGAGAAGTTCGGGATTCAAAGCTAGAAAGTCGGGATTGATATTGGGCAGTTTCTCAATCCAAGTCAAATTCCAAAACTTGACAGCTACTGAAGTTTCCTATTTCTTTGCATTCCATGTCAATCTCGAGCAATTGGAAGAGTTTTTAGAAAATTGAATTGTAATAGGAAACTCTTTAAGAATTTGATTCGTATTAGGAAACCAATCAATTAAGCAATTCGGCAGGGAGAATTCAGCATATAGCTCTTGCTTAGGGACAAAGCATAGTTATTCTTGTTTTCTTGACCGATAGACAAGAAGACAATTGGAAAGCTTCGAACAGATTTTTGCATGGCTTGTTCTTCATTAATGGAGAACTATTTCATATTTCTAGTCAAGGGGACAACTGAAGATTTGGTTCAATAATAACTGTGAGATCTAAATTATTTTAATTGCTTCTTTTATTCATTGGTATTTATATGTTTTCTGCTTTTAGTGGTTATGACTATTGTGTATGATTGAATAGTCGCGCAATATTTAATTATTTACATAGTCTATTTGGTAATTGGGGGTAGTTGAATCCATAATTGTTTGATTACTCCATCCCGGTAGCAACTAGCATGAGTGGTTTCATGTTAGGGAAACGTATGATATAACTTAAACGAACCCTCGTAGCGTGTTTATTGGTTAGGGTTGGCCTTTTCCAAATTTTATTGCAATCGAGAAATTAAATCCTATGATCGTACCTAGGGTTATTTCTTGGTTAGGAAAATAGTTAATGGTCGTACCTTGACTATCGAAAAAGTAAGGAAAGACTGGTTGTTTATCGTATGCATGACAACTATAACCAATCTATTAATGAGTAATTGAATTGTCTTTGCATCGATGATCAGTTGAATTAACTGTGTCTGAAAAGTTGCACATTGGATTAGAATTGTATTGGTTATTGATTAATTCATGTTTATTTCTGTTAGTTGTTTCATTAGTTAGTTAATTAGTTATTTTATATTCTCCAAAAACCTCTCATTCTTCAGACCCTGAAAGAAACAAATTATCCCCAATCCCTGTGGATTCGACCCTACTTGCCCAATATACAAATTAGAGATTTTTCTTAAATAAATTTTGGTATATCGGATTTAGCAAACTCTTCGGAACCAAGATGAATCTAGTAACCCATTGCACATCTAGAGTCCCTGTTCCAGTACCATAATTGACACGAAGTTGCTTCTGTTGGCAATTAGGATTATTAATATTATTATTGCATAAGCTCGACACCTGTCGATACTCATCTAACAAACCTCCACTCGGGGAAATTTTTTTTAAAAAAAAAATCTACATAAGGGTATACATTAGCAGAAAATGAAAAAAAAAAAAAAAAAAACTTTAGACTGCAATCTAGTAACATGTGTCCCAGGTGCACAAAGAAATTGAAACATATAGAGCTTTGATTGTCAAAAGTAGCACTAACACTCCTCGGAGTTTAATTCAAATACAGATGATCAAATATGAGTGACGCCTTGCGCATAGCGGCAATAGAAAACTATGAAAGGATATGCCACGGTGTGTCAGCCAACCGTCTTTAGAGTTGAAATTCTTTCAGGAGCTTCTGTGATTGTATGGTTTTGTAATCTAGCAGCATCAGATTTTGTGAGGCAATGCGTTGATGAAACTTGGGTATTGGTATTCAATCCCAAGATCTTTCATGTAAAATGACTCGGATGCGGAAAAGGCTTGGATTCTCTGCTCCGGTCAACTTGAAATAGGACTAGTCCCAGCACTTTAGGAAGTTGGTTATTAGCACATTTAATTTTTTATACTAATTGTAGTAAGTAATATTTGGAGGGACCATAAGTTCAGGTTGAAAAGAGGCATGGTGAAACTCTTTCCAAATACATAGCACCTAGCTAACTTCCCTTACCCTACTACTTATACAAATAAAAGAGAGAACAAAAATATATAACCCATTAATACATACTAAAAGTTTTTACAGCAATTACATGGTGAATTCATTAAATTAGGCATTTGGTTGACTTTGAAATGTGTGTCAAGTCAAAACATTGTCAAAAATTGCATTAATTTTTGAGAGTTGAGATATATATATATATATATATATATGAATTAGTCATCTTTGAATTAATTTTTTTCTTCAGAAAAAGTTATTTAATTTTTATTGTACTAATTATTTAACTTTCAAAAATTAAACATATAATTTGATGTTCCATAGTAAATTGACCCAATGTAATGTATTAGAATAAAAAGACCCAATTCATAATTTTTAATGGCCTAAAAAGACCCAATTCATAATTGTTAAAAGCAAGAACTAGTACGTCTAAGAATAGAACTTCAATATTTTGAGTTCGACATTCCAAATCATCATGAATTGCAAGAATTATCTAGTATTCATGAGTTATGTCAAGACTTGGTGAAGACAAGAAAATCAGTGATATATCTTCTTATTGACAGATTTATTAGATTTGTTATTACTCTTCCTATATCAACTACAACTATAGAGCGGACATTTTCAATTATGAAAATAATCAAGACAAAGCTCCGAAACAAGATGCAAGATAATTTCTTGAATGATTGTCTAACAGGAAGTTGCTGAAAAATTTAGCAATGATTCAATCATAGATGAATTTAGTTCTATGAAAGAGCGTAGAGCTCAATTTACTTCTAAAAAAAGATATTGAAATTTCAAATTATGTTAACATAACTTTTATCTTTTTTCAATTGAAAATAGTTACATTTATATTACATGGTTATATATATATATATATATATATATATATATATATATATATATATATATATATATATATATATATATATATATTGCATAGATGACATATTGGAGAGCATCTTCTCATAATGTGCAAATTGGATGGTTTGTGATGTTATAAGATATTTAATCAAAAGTTATCTTTTTTGTTATGACTATACCGCATATTTATGAATAGACATACCTTTATAATTAAATTTAATATTTGATATTTTTAGATGTCAAATATTTGAATAGAAGAAAATTATTTTGAACATAATATATTAAAATAATTTTATTAGGAAAAAATTTTGGCCCTCAAAAAAAAAAAATCCTGGCTCCGTCACTGCTTGTGTCCCGGCATACATCTAACAGTAGCTAAATCAGAACGGCCCGTAGAAAAAGCTGTCCAAGACATATTCTCACCGTGGCTAGCTATTTCCGAACTCGAAGAAGAAGGTGCCGAAAAATATGTCACAATTGTAAATCAAAACACGAAGAAAAAGGTGTCCAAGACGTTCCAAAAGGCTGCCTCTCCTAATCTTCTGGTGGGTATAATGCTGACCGTGGTTGCCAGTTTGTCTTCAAAATGGTACATTTTTGGTACTCTAGACAATAAATAAATAAATAAATAAAAACTTTACCTGCATTTGGTATTAAGTAATTTTTCACTTTAATTTTCCTTAATTGTTGTTAGCTGTCATACATTGGTAATTCAATTTTAAAGTCAAAAAATTTAATTGATTTGCAATGATAATATGGAACCAAATTGGACAAAACTCCAAATATAAGGGACAACGATAGTTTTCTTGATGTGCACATGCAATTCATGTGATCAGTCATCGGTTAGCTCTCACGAATTACCGTTTTTAAGTTAACATTTATCATTTTTCATGAAGATAAGGAGAAAATTAGTTGATTGTATAGATTAGGTTCTACATTGGTGATGATAAACTTTGCCACTGGATAATGCCTAATTGGCCGTAACAAATGAAGTTTCGGTACTTGAGGTGACGCACTAGTGAAACCATGCATTCCAGGGATAAGAATTAAACTTGGAAATCTGAAAGATAACTAAAGAATAAATATTAGAATCAATAATATAAAAAAAAAAGTTTCCAAATCAAATCAAAATTATTGAAAATTGACCAAAGCTCAAATCCAAATCAAATAAATCCTTACACGTTAAACCCACGAGAAACCTGTTATCAAGAGGTGCAATTACCACTTGATAAAACTCCA